TTTCTTCATATCAGCCAAACCGGCTGAAAAACACAGGAACGTGTGTGGCGCTCTCTCACTCCTTCCCCCTCTCTCCCTCACTCCCTCTCCCCTCCCCTTCTGCCTCCTCCTATCTGATTACCAAAGTACAGAGCACTGACGTGAAATAATAATAATAATCCTGGCATTTGACACAGCTCCTTAACACGTCATTGAGACGTCTCAAAACGCTTCACAGGATATAATGCAAAGTGAATTGACTGTGTGTATTTTGTGGTGAAACGCGGCAGCCAATTGCGCACAGCAGCGTCCCCCACAAACAGCCGTGGATTGAGTGACACCATTTCTCGTAAAGGATTATTACCCACGGAAAAATGATCTGCCAATCAACTAACAAGCAGGTTCCTACTTACTGCTCGGGAAACAGAGACGTGTGGAGTAAGGAAACTTGCTCAACGTTTCGCCCTGCCCGGGGTCCTCTCGCTTGCCAGGCGCGCGCTCTAACCACTGGGCTACAGGCTCCACATACGATGGAACCTCCAACAATACAGCAAAACCCCAACACCGTATTGGATTCCAAGTCCTGATGTGGGGCTTGAACCCACAACCCTTCTGACTCTGAGGCGAGAGCGTTAACGACTGAGCCACTGACAAGTGAATTAATCATTCGCGTGGGAGAGGTGCAATTGGCCAAATGGCCATCTCCTGCTCTGAAAATTCCCCTCTGTGTGTAATATCGAGTGCAGGTATATCATTGTTTAGTCATTCCAGGCCACCTGCCAAACGGATAGCTTTCCCCTAGTTTTGTAGTCCAGCGCAGATAAGCTGAGCAGGGAGAATGCTGTTTGATTTTAATTAAAATATTTTTGGTGTAAATGTCAAGCGAGATGAAAGCGAGTTATCATTTTTCTATACGGCAACCAATACCGTCTTATACAGTGAGCACAGAATAACAGAGCAGAGAGAGAGGGAGGAGAGCGAGAGAGGGAGAAAGAGAGAGAGATGAGCGAGAAAGAGAGGGAGAGCAGAGCGAGAGAAGGAGAGAGAGAAAACGTGAGGTGCAGCGAGTCATAAAGTGGAACCTGGTTCAGAATCCTGTTCATCAAAACCTCTGTGAAGTCTCGACTCCACACATCGTAAAGCAGACGCTTCCTAACAGCTGGAGCCAGGATTAGGATGTTTTATTCCCGAATGATTTTTGACCGTGTTGGGGCGCAACTCGTCAAAGTTGCTCATTTCCAACAAATATAGTCATGAGGGAGAGAGCGAGCGAGACAGACCGAGAGCATGCGTGCGAGAGAGAGAGAGAGAGACAGAGAGAGAAGAGAGAGACCAGAGCGAGCAAGAGAAAGAGAGAGAGCGAGGGAGAGCTCAGGGGTCCCATAAGACCTCACACAGCTATCAAGGTACCCAGTCCTTACAGATTTAGTCTCTCTGGATCTCGTCAACGCAAATATTTCACTGGAATTCTTGGGAATCTGAGGGGCCAAATCTGTTAGCAGAGAGAACGCAGACTTTGCTGAAGGCAATTTCTAACCAATCTGCTCCGAAGAGACTTCCCTTCCATTGTTTCTGGTCCAGTGGGGAGCGAGCACCAGCACGGACACGATGGGGAGAAACAGAAAGAGAGAGCAGGGAATGGGATTACAGTAGAGAGTTCCAGCAATAAAACTGTGGAATGTCCAGTCTCATTGGAGATATTTAGGTGAGGAATGGGCAGAGGTTGGTTGGTTGGTTGGTTGGTTGGTTGGCAGCTGTGAGCCATTGGCCCTCCGTGTAGCAGAAAAAGATATTGGATGGAAACAGCAAATGTTTATTTCTGTGAAACAAAGAACAAGCGAATGGTTGGATGCCATCCAATCGCAGGAGTCAGGTTTAAGATGTGTTGAAAGATTCATTGCTATTATTGAGGTTCAAGGCAATGTTCAGGTCCCTCACTGCCCGCCCCCCCACATTCTTGGCCCTGAGCCCCAGCAATTAGTGAGCGAGGAGTGAGAGAGAGAGAGAGCATAATTCACAGGAGGTCAATCAGGAAACATTCCCAATGCACAAGTGACAATCCTTACTTTTGATATTGAAACGCTGAAACGTCTCAAAATGCTTCATGGAGGTTTTCTAGAAAGTGTAGTGACTGTATTTATAGGCAGCCAATCTGCACACAGTTT